TTTAGGTGGAAACTAGCGAGCTAACTTCCTGTTAACTTCTAACTCCGTTAAATTTAATAAATTCTGCATTTACATATATCGCCCAGCCCTACATTAAATCGTCATTGCTAACAGATTTTGTTTTCATTTGATTCTTTTAAAAGATCCTTTTGAACGCCTGCTGCCCAGGATGGGTGCGCACTGACATGGCTGGACCAAAAGCTCCCAAGTCACCAGACGAGGGCGCTGTCACACCGGTCTACCTGGCTTTGCTGCCATCTGGAGCCAAAGAGCCTCATGGACAGTTTGTCTCTGAAAAGACTGTTCAGAAGTGGTGATGAGCGTGTGAAACTCAAAGCGATAACACAATTTGGTGAAATCGCAAAACTGTGAAACATTTAAAGAATGAAAGTCACCCAACATAACAAACAACCAGTAACATAAACTGACATTGCTAAAGCTCTGGGATGGGTTTCTTGTAGGACAGAGTTTAACTCTTATCCAAATAGTTTGGTAATAGAACCCAAATTGTTCGTTTTATTCTCAGTAACAGTACAGTACTGTGTGTGTGTCTGCTAGCTGGAACGAATCAAAATGAAAGTGAATCCTTGAAATGTTGAATTGTCAGCAAAGCCTTCAGTACATAACATTTTCATATCTTTGACTTCATATACTTGCCTTAACTGGATTAAGCTAATTGTTCAGAATTACTAGAATTTTATACAAAATGCTGTTTTTTTGTGTTTCTTTTAAATAAAACATGTGGATCTCCAGTCAAAATACCAAATAAAGTGACTTCAAAACATAAGGTTGAGTGGTATGAATGTTACAGTGTCCCTGTATTACACACCCAGAGTGCATCAGCCACTCCTCCACCATCTTCACCTTTTCTTTGGTTTGTCCAGTTTCCTCTTCACGTTTCTGTAAGGAAATCTGTCTCCAGCATCTCGGAGCTCTCGGATATTTTCTCTATAATAAGATTCTTTGGAACATTTTTGGCCATTTTGAGAATAAGCAAACCTGTAAAAGCTGATGCTCTGCACTTAACCAGCGTATAAACTATTGTCTGTTTAATCAGGACAGCAGCAGTTTTCAGCTGTATTAACAGAATAATTTTTTTCATTTTGGTTCAGTATTGAATATTATTGTTTTATGTGTACTTTTAATATTCAACTACCTGTTAGTTTATCATTGCTTTACGTGCTGATAATGTTCAAAACTCCACCCAGCTTCCCTCCCACTATTTTCAGTATATCATTCATTGTCCTCTGCATCCCTCTCAGTGCTGCTCCAGCTCCCTTCAGAATCACAACAGCAGTAAGTAAGTAAGAAACCTTTTTTATCTTTTGTTCCACATTTGGTAGCTGACTGTTTCTTAAAATCTTCTCATAATTCTGAGGAAAGATTATATCCAAATATTGTCTTTTAAAATAAAAATGGACTGAAAACAGAGAGTACATTTTAATCATATCTCAACTTAAAAGTAGGTCTAATCATATTTTTACATGTTATAAAAAGATGTCCCAAATCGGTTTATTTTTTCTTGAAGTTTCATCAAGGCTGTCATTCTTAACATTCAGGGGATTTCATAACATGTTTTCCTTTTTCGAATCTAATTTATGATCAAACTGATTTAATGAGATGCTATAATTCCACAGTCACATTTAAAACTGTTTCAAAAGTATGAGTTTACATTAAAAATGAGTTTTATGATAAATTCTGCAAATTTTAATTTAATCCATCTTTAATTTCTTGTGTTTTTCATTGAATATATATTTGGATTTGTCTGTTTTAACATGTCGTCATGACTCTGCAAGTCTTACAATCAGCCCTCTTACACTGCTGATAAGAGAACTGACCTACAACTAAGGAGCTATCCCATAAATATTCATACAGGTTTTTATGATGTGGGAATACATGTGAATGCCTCAGCCTGATTCTCCTGATATTGTCCTGCAGCTTTATGTCCTCCAATCTGATAATCAGTGGCTCAACATGAAACTTCATACACTCATATCTCTCTTTCTGCATGTGCAGACATGTCGACCAAGGTTGCAGTGGTTACTGGCAGTAACAAAGGCATCGGTCTGGCCATCGTCCAAGCGCTCTGCAAGCAGTTCGATGGAGACGTTTACATCACCTCCAGAGATGTGTAAGTGACTCACCTGGTGACAGCTGGACCTGGTTGATGTGAAGGCCTTCACGTGCAACTGTGGTTTTTATATCTAGACATTCACCTAACTCTGAAGTTTCACAGTGAGGTCCACAAATATTCCATTAACTGAGAAGTACATGAAACTTTTTTGGTCCTTTTGCAGAGGTCGGGGTGAGGAAGCAGTGAAGACTCTGAACTCAGAGGGACTCAAACCCAAGTTCCACCAGCTGGACATCAATGACTTGAACAGCATTAAAAACGCTGCTGCCTACTTTAAAGGGAAGTATGGAGGAGTGGACATTCTCATCAACAATGCTGGAACAGCATTCAAAGGTAGCATTAGAACTCTATAATAATACATATCATACTGGATCAATGTATATGGTAGTTTAATACTGCAGCTATGAATTGAAGTGGATGGCGTTCACAGCATGTTAACTTTTTCCTTTCAGCGTCAGATCCAACTCCCTTTGATGTCCAGGCAGAGGTGATCCTGACGACAAACTTTTTCGGAACTAGAGGCATGTCGACACATTTCCTGCCAATGATCAGAGCTGGAGGTACAGATGCAGAGACTCTGGTGCTAAGTGCACAAAAAGTAAACAAAGGCATTCAGATTTGGTGTCACTCTAAGATGGGGTCACATGCATCCTGTTTGTTTGAATCAGTTTTAATTGTCATTGACATTAGTCTATCAGGAGTAATAAATATCCTATATATGTATCTCTCTCTCTCTCTGTGTCTATCTATCTATCTAGATATATAGATATATATAAACTGTTTCTATAATTTTGAGTGTTTCTAAAGTTCACTGATCTAGCTGTAAAATGGAAGCTGTATAGTTCTGCCTAAGCTGAGTAACCCAGACACCACTTTAACAGAAGTCCTCTGCAGAGCTGAATAATTGAATGAAACACCAGAAATACCACCCTTATTGTAGAACATGGTGGAAGTAGCATCATGGGTGTTGCTTTGGAGCAGCAGTGAACGGCAGTTCTTTGTATGTATTTTAGGTCGTGTGGTGAATATCTCCAGCATGCTTAGTGTCACAGGTTTAAAGCAATGCAGCCCAGAACTCCAGCAGCATTTCCGCAGCGAGGACATCACAGAGGACGAGCTGGTGGCACTGATGAGAAAATTCCTTGATGATGCCAAGAAAGGCGAACACAAGCAGCATGGTTGGCCTGATATGGCATATTCGGTGTCTAAGATTGGAGTGACGGTACATTTACCCAGTTTTTCTTCAGGATGTTAGATTAGGAGGTTGACTAATGAACTGATTAACTGAATCAATTCAAGCCTTTTTTTTTTCTCGGAGACTCTGATTATAAATATGGGTGTTTGTTTGTGTTTTAAGGTGCTGTCCATGATTCATGCTCGTCGTCTGTCTAAGGAGAGACCAAATGACAGGGTAACTAAAATAAGACAAGCTCTAATGAACTTACATACAAAGCCATGTCCGAACCTTTTGGAGTCCACTGAAACCTCATTTCTTATTCATGGACTCGTTGTTATTCGTTTTTCCAGATCCTCTTGAATGCCTGCTGTCCAGGATGGGTGCGCACTGACCTCACTTCACCAGATGCTCCCAAGTCACCAGACGAGGGCGCCATCACTCCTGTCTACCTGGCCCTGTTGCCTCCAGGAGCCAAAGAGCCTCAGGGAAAGTTTCTCTCCGACAAGGAAGTCCAGCCGTGGTGAAAGAGAGTTTAGTGTGTGATTCCACATGAAGAATTATTTGCAAGAGATTTAAGATTTAAGAAAAGTGATGTTCCAGGCATCAAATACACACACCATAGCATACCATAAAATAATCTGTGTTAAAGTGACAGTGTTCATGATGACTACTCAATTTGTGGCCTGTTTCTAAAACTGGATTCCTTCCTTTTTGATGTACAACTCAAACTTGCATTAACTGAAATCAAATAAAGTGCTTTTAATTAAGACTCATTTTGTGTCAAAACAATTCAACAACTTCAAAGTAAGGTTATTAAAAGCACACAATAGCAATAAATCTACATTGTAAATGTATTTTTCTAATATAAAATCATCCATACTATCATAGATCATCATAAAAAATATGATGAGGCTGGGGTTTTAGAAGTAATGCTGCAGCTGCATTTGGCACCATGAGACAGTTTTTGAGAGCATCTTGTCAAGTCACACTTGCATTTGTACCGCAGGGTTCAAGGTGCCCCTAAATTAAACCGCTACTTAAAAACATACAGCTGTCTAACAACAACCTTTATTTATAGAGCACATTATGTCCAACCTTCCTCTTATTTGTAAAATTCTTGAAAGAGTAGTTATCAAACACCTGACTGATTAGTTGTAGAGGAATGGTCTATTTGAAGAGTTTCATCATAGCACAGAAACAGCACTAGTGAAGGTTGAGAATGACCTCGTGACCTCTGACAGTGACCTTGGTACTTGTCATGTTAGAACTCAATACAGCATTTGACACTTTTGACCTTCATATTGCACTTCAGAGATTAAAACAACACTGGTATTAAAGAAACTGCGGTGCACTGGGTCAAATCATATATATTAAACAGAGTACAATTTGTGCATATGAATGGGCTGTCTTCTGCACACATGAAAATTAATAATTGTGTTACACAGCACAGTTCTGTGATGGGACCATTACCATTTTCATTGCTATGTAGATGACATCCAGCTTTATCCATGAAGCCAGATGATACAAAGTAACAAGTTAAACTAGAGGCATGACTTAAAAACAAAAGGCTCTGTGGCGATCGTGACTCAAGAGTTGGCAGTTCGTCTTGTAATCGGAAGGTTGCCAGTTCGAGCTCTGGCTCGGACAGTCTCGGTCGTTGTGTCCTTGGGCAACACACTTCACCCGTTGCCTACTGGTGGTGGTCAGAGGGCCCGGTGGCACCAGTGTCCGGCAGCCTCGCCTCTATCAGTGCGCCCCAGGGCAGCTGTGGCTACAATGTAGCTGCCATCACCAGTGTGTGAATGTGTGGATGACTGAACGTGTAAAGCGCTTTGGGGTCCTTAGGGACTAGTAAAGCGCTATACAAATACAGGCCACCTACCATTTACCTCTAATTTCCACCTTCTAAATTAAGATAACACTGACGTTATTGACCTTCAAATTTAACCAGATACTTACTTGGCTTTGAGTAACACTTTAAGGAATTCTGGACTAATTTTTGCACATTAAACAAATATGTAGTGCCTTTAGTCATTCACAATTCCCACAACAGATCAGTAGAGTTGGCTGGTTCCTCTCCAGATGTTTTGAAACTTAGCAATTGCTCCTCGTTGTCTAACCAGTCAGGACAGCAGCAGTTTTCAGGGGTACTAACAAAAATTTTAAATGTATATTTTTTCATATTGTTCCAGTATTTATGTATGTATGTATTGCTTTATGTGTACTTCACCTACCTATTAATATTCAACAACTTGCTAGTTTTTTATAGCTTTGCACACTGTTCAAAACTCCACCCAGCTTCTTTATCATTGTTTGTAGTATATAATAAGTAATTCATTGTCCTCTGCAGCGCTCTCAGTCCCGCTACAGCTTCGTTCCACATTACAATAGCAGCATAAGTAAGTAAGAAACATCCTTTTACTTTTGTTCCACATTTGTTAGTTGACTGGCTCTTTTGTAAATAAATCACATGACATGTCCTCCTTTATAGCTGGAATGTACTGAAACAGGCAGTTAAACCCTCAAAACAAACATTGTTGACATTAAATGTAAGATTTATGATGAATTCACAATTTTTCAATATTACTTATTATATATATTTTGAGTTCTTACTGTTTCAATGTATCATCATGACTCTGCAAATCTCACCGGTTTACAGCCCCCCCACACTGATAAGAGAACTGCCTTAAAGTTAAACAACTTTTTCATATACACGCTTCACACAGGTTATTTAATCATTGTACCCATTACACACTGTTCAGGTCAAAGGTGACCTGACATTTAACAGCAGTAATGGTATGATGTGAATGTGAAACTATACACGCCAACGCTGTGTGTATTTCTTATGGCACGATGGTGACAGAGTTCAGAGAAAGACTTAAGACTGTCAGATAAACTTTCTGTGTTCCCACCATATTTGATCAGGTTCTGAGGCACCTTTATCCAGCAGGTACATACTGGTCTTTGAAGGCAATGCAGGAATATCACAACAATGAAATAGCAAACCAACATAGGAATCAAAGACCTACAGAGGTCAGAGGGTGCCTGTTTTAAATTGTAGGGCCTTTCTGTGTGGTATTTGCATGTTCTCCCTTCAGGTATACTAGCTTCTTTCCACCTTTCCACAGTGCAAAGGCATGCATGGCACATTAATTATTCTAAACCGTCCATTTACAAAGGCAGAAAACAAACTAACAATATCAAATTAGCATCTATTTATTTATTTATTTATTTATTTATTTAATTAACCCAGAGGTAACTGAGATTTAAAGAAGGTTCGTAAGAGGCATTGAGGGGTGGATGTGGCTTCCTACAACTGCTTTGAATATAAAGACTACTTAGCTGTAAGATGGCTAAGTAGTAGTTATAGCTTAGCAATAACAAATGCTGCTTTTAACAGTTGAAGTGGTTATGAATGCTTAAATAACAAATCTCAGCAGTTTCAGAATGCTCCAGCCATTTTCACTTTTATTAAATCACATGTTTTATTATGTTTTCTCGTCTTAGGTAAAACAGGACATGATATCGTGTGATAACAGATGTCCAAAAGTATAAAAACCTCAAAAACGCACTCCCTTCTCTCTTTTGTCTGAAATGTTCATCACGGCGGATTCATCCATTTCTTCATGTCAGATCGCCTGTTGATATATTCTAAATTGATCAGTAGTTCAAAATTTGGCATATACATTTATTACAAGGGAAATGACTTGATCCACTTGATCTGACGGATTAAATATGAAACATATGTAAGGCTTAAAATGCATTATACATGCATATTCATTACTTTTGTATTCTGGGTTCTGTTGGTGTTTAGAGTTATTTCTATCTGTTTCTTTGTGCTCAGATGTATTCTAACCTCCCCAATATCTCTTTGTATCTTCTCAAGTCTTTGTTTCTGTGTTATATGTTGTTGACTGAAGGTGAAAAATTAAATTTTCTAATTAATGGATCTTTAACCTGCCAGTTCCCAAGTACAGAGTTTGCTTGATTTCCAGCTGTGCACATGTAAGAAAAATGCATATAATCATGATATGAGGTTCCAAGTGGTTGACTGATAGCGATAGTGCAAAGTGGAGTGAACTGTGACCTAAAGTTGGCTCTTTTTTTTTTGGCCAATGTAATAATGTGATTACCCTGTGTGTTTAATAGTCACTTGTTTTCTTACTTCCAACCTGTCGCGGTAGATGGCCGTCCCTCTCGGTGTCTTCCTGTTAAAAACAAATTTTTCTTTCCCACTATTAAAAAGCGATCGCTCATAGGACGCCATCTGATTGTTGGATTTCGGTTTCTCTTTACTCCGTATTATTGTAGGGTCTCTACGTCACAATATAAAGCACCTTGAGGCAACTGCTGTGATTAGGCGCTATATAAATAAAACTGAAATGAATTGTATTAGATTTTTGTAAGGAAAATGTAGCTCAGACTGGATGCTCACGTAAAGTAGTCAAAGTCAATATATAATTATCTTTTGTTCTGCATTGTAGCTCTCTCTCTCTCTTTGCAGACATGTCGACCAAGGTTGCCGTGGTCACCGGCAGTAACAAAGGCATCGGTCTGGCCATCGTCCGAGCGCTTTGCAAGCAGTTCAATGGAGACGTTTACGTCACCTCCAGAGATGTGTAGGTATCTTTACCTGGTACCACCTGGACCGAGCCTGGGTCATGTGGGACAAATATAACTGCAGTCACATCCTTAACTGCAATCTATGTGGATTTAATAGCACTTGTGGACATTATTACAATATCCTTGAAGACTGTGTTTTAAGTTTTAAAGTTTTGGGGAAAATGTAATATTCATGTAAATATTCATGAATATTCACCAACTGCCAGAGTTAATGTCAACGTCAATGTCAATTTTATTTCTATAGCACATTTAAAACAACATAGTTGACCAAAGTGCTTTACAGCTTAGTTAATGAACAGAAAATACAATACACTGTGACAACATAAACAAAAAACTTAATGGTACACAAACTGAATTCTAATTAAAGGCCAAGGTGAAAAATTGAATTTTAAGATGGAATTTAAAAGACTGTTTCAACTCTGAAGTATGAATATCGAGTGGCGAGTTATTCCAGAGTCCAGGGGCTGCAACAGCAAAGGCCCGATCCTCTCTATGGTTTAATCGAGACTTCGGTTGTACTAAGAGCATCTGGCTCGATGATCTCAGTGCTCCTTTGAGGTTATATATGTTGAGGTGTTTGCTTAAACAGCTGAGTCCCATACCATTTAAAACTTTGAAAGTAAAAAGTAAAATAATCTGAAAATGAAATGGACAGGGAGCCAGTGCAAATTTGCTAAAGCTGGAGTGATGTGATCATTCCTCCTGACACCTGTTAAAAGACATGCTGCAGCATTTTGGACTAACTGCAAGTGATGGCGAGATGAATGTTCAAGACCCAAATAAAGAGAACTGCAGTAGTCGAGTCTAGTGGAGATGTAGGCATGAATACATTTTTCAAGGTCTTCTGAAGGAAGATAAGTTTCACTTTGGCAATTTCACTGAACTGATGATTGGTCTACACCACTGTGGACGCTTGCTTCTCTAATTTAAAAGCGCTCAGTCTGGGAATGATGACAGGAAAGAGGACCGAGGGTATCTGTTAACTTATCCAAAGGGGTATGACTTCCAAAATCAATAACTTCAGTCTTATTTTCATTTAGGGTATAAAAGTTCTGTGTTAACTAGTCTTTAACATCATGTATACAGATAGTTAAACAGTGGGACAGACACATCCAATCCAATGGATGGCATCAGCATAACTGTGAAAGGGAATGTGTGGCATTTCTGATCTGGCATTTCTGATCGGCGTGCATAAAAAAAAGTAACATTTTATGGAAAACTTTCACTTAGAATAAATATTAAACTCTACTTTACATTTTAATATTAGCACTTTACTTTGGTCAGTGCTAGCTGTTTTTAAATTTCTTTAGAAATAAAGTTGGCTTGGCTTTATGGAAATGTAAGATCAAAAGGAAGAGAGAGTTAAAAAACCCACTGAGCACTGAAAGTAACAGTAAATGAAACTTTTTTGGTCCTTTTGCAGAGGTCGGGGTGAGGAAGCAGTGAAGACTCTGAACTCAGAGGGACTGAAACCCAAGTTCCACCAGCTGGACATCAATGACTTGAACAGCATTAAAAACGCTGCTGCCTACTTTAAAGGGAAGTATGGAGGAGTGGACATTCTCATCAACAATGCTGGAATAGCATTTAAAGGTAGAATCATAAATATATACTGATGGATGTCGAACTGGATCCACATATACAATAATCTGAAACTGCAGCTATAAATTGAATTTGATGATTCAACACGTTATCTCTTTTCCTTTTAGCGTCAGACACAACTCCATTTGGTGTCCAGGCAGAGGTGACCCTGAGGACAAACTTCTTTGCCACCAGAGACGTGTTGACTCACTTCTTGCCACTCGTCAAAGCTGGAGGTACAGATGCAGAGCTCATTCCAGTCTACTGCTCCTCAAGTTTTTTTTGGGGTTTTATTTTAATAAAAATATTCAGACTCCTTCAGATTCAGACTAACTGTAAAGCATGGTGGAAGTAGCATCATGCTAGGTGTTGCTTTGGAGCAACAGTGAGAGGTAATTACTACTGATGGTTTCCATAAAACCTAGAGGAAGGAATGGCATTAATTGTATGTGTTGTAGGGCGTGTGGTGAACGTCTCCAGCATGCTTAGCGCCAGCGGTTTGAAACAGTGCAGCCCAGAACTCCAGCAACGTTTCCGCAGTGAGGACATCACAGAGGACGAGCTGGTGGCACTGATGCAACGATTTGTTGATGAGGCCAAGAAAGGAGAACACAAGCAAGGCGGCTGGCCTGATATGTCATATGCAGTATCCAAAATTGGAGTGACGGTACAACTGAACACTTTGTCTTTAGATTTTTACCTGACGAGGTTGCAAAATATGCTCAAAACTTGCACAGTGGCACAGTGGTCAGCACTGTTGCCTCACAGCAAGAAGGTCCTGAGTTCAATTCCACCATCAGGCCGGGGTCTTTCTGTGTGGAGTTTGCCTGCGTGGGTTCTCCCCAGGTACTCCGGCTTCCTCCCACAGTCCAAGGACATGCACTTTGTGGGGATAGGTTAATTGATTAATCTAAATTGCCCGCGGGAGTGAATGTGAGTGCGAATGGTTGTCTGTCACTGTGTGTTAGCCTTGACGGACCCTGCCTCTTGCCCTGTGACAGCTGGGGTAGGCTCCAGCACCCCCCGCGACCCTGAAAAGGATAAACGGAAGCGAATGGATGGAATGGAGGTTGAAAAATGGAGGAATATTCAGATAGGGCAGGCTAAAGTCAACCTGCAAATTCATTATTCCAAACTAGATCCCTGAACATTGACAAACTTCAATTAAAATGCTTTTGCTTTAGTTTTAAATTCTTGGAGACTATCATTCATTATGTTTGTTTGTGTTTTAAGGTACTATCCATGATTCATGCTCGTCGTCTGTCTAAGGAGAGACCAAAAGATGGGGTAACGGAAATTTTTGATCTTAAAATAAAATTATAAACAACTGTCTTGATTCTTCTATGCTGTGCAGCAGACCAGTATGTTTTATTGATATAGTGCCAAATCACAACACCAGTTGTCTCAAGGCACTTTATATTGTAACGTAATAACAGTGTGGAAATAAATTAAACAGGACTTAATATGATATTATGTATTCTTAAAGATTTTGTTCTGTCTTTGAAGCCTCCCTTCTTATACTTGTTATTCTTTTTTTACAGATCTTGATTAATGCATGCTGTCCAGGGTGGGTACGCACTGAGATCGCTGCGCCAGGTGCCCCAAAGTCACCAGATGAGGGCGCCATAACACCGGTCTACCTGGCCCTGCTTGCCCCCGGAGCCACTGAGCCTCATGGAAAGTATGTCTCCGATAAGGAAGTTCAACCATGGTGATAGAAAGTTGAATATCTAATGACATAAAAAAATAATGTACAAAAACAATGTAGTTATTTTATAAGTTTATACTTTTTCTTGCCAGAATGAAATTTGTAATATTTAAGGCCATAGTACAAACGCCCGTATCACACAGCTAAAACCAAAATGTTTTCCAGTTTAAATGTTTTGTTAGGTTAAACCCATCAATTTAAAAATGATGTTCTGATAACTGACAGTGTTCAACTGATGAAAACAAAACTTAGCTATATTTTTTTCTTACGTGTTTTAACATGTGAAAAGTAAACTTGCTGTTTCTGAATGAAGATATTTAAAAAAAGAAAATAAAATGCTTGTTATTAAAACTTTACTGTGATTTTTTAAAACAATAAATTGACTTTAGGTTGAAAATGTTTTTGAAAGAACATAATAGGTTTTTGGCTACAATGTAATTTTATTTATACAATATAAAATTACAACATTGTGAATAATTGTCAAAAAGCAGTGAGCTTGAGGTCTGAATCAGTTTTTAAAGCAACTTGTCTGGGGTGTAGAATAGGTCACACGTTGTACCCATGCTGTCGGTGTTTTGCTTATCGGGGCAATGTAGAGCAGAACCACAAAGGAAGCTAAAACATAAACATCCTGTCCTGACAAAATGCTGTTTGCTGGACAAAAGCACATACTCTGTTCTAAGCCTCATACTTTTATATGTCCGTATAGTGCTAGAGATGCAGTCTTTGACCCTCTTGCTGAATGTGTAGTTGCAGCAGAGGATAGTGTCAAATGTGCAGAAACGCTTGCTGGTTTGCAAACTGCACAATGTGATCGGATCAATAGAACAAACTCTGGCTGCTTGTTTAGACGCGCAGAGAACTTTTTGATTTGCGTGACTTGACGGTTGACTCGAGTACAGCTGCAGAAATCAGGATCAAGATGAACTCAGCTCTGTCAAGTTCACATGAGAGTAACTGGGTGTGTCTGTTTCTTTAGTTTGTATAATTCAATAGTTGATGTTTAATCAGCAGGTTCTTGCTCACATATTCAACTAAAAGAATATATATCACAGAATGGCAGCTCCAGAGGCCACAGAGATAAAGCAAACACTGTTTTGCCTTCATCTTTATAAATGCATCAGATTAACAGAAAGATACATTAGTTTAAACTTCCACACCCCTCCACATAACCTGTACAACTTGCTTTTGTGCTGCGCGGGACTCACTTGAAAGAATGTTTAAAAGTGAAATGATTAGAGAAATGGGTGAGGCAGCAGCAACAGGCCTAAGCATTGTGCAGCATATCAGCGAGGTATGTTTTTAAGGACAATGCAGTCATTAATACGGGCTAGCTTAAAGCAGTGGAATGAAAATTTGATGATGTGCTGTGCCCTGACTCTTTGCACGTTCAACTCGTGTGACCTTTTGATATGTGCAGCTGACGATGGGAACTAGACACCACTTTCATTTCCTGCTAAGGTGCAGACGCATGCACGCAGGTGAGGTGGAGCAAATAATTCTTTGAAGTTATTTTCACTTAATAGAGCTTCCACTGTGTGACCTGATATCCTATAAACTTTATTTTAGATTCACACAAACACGTGCGCACACACACACACACACACACACACACACACACACACACACACACACACACACACACACACACACACACACACACACACACCCTTTGACAGCATGTCTGAACAGTTGGTGACTTATCAGATTGTAGCACCACAAAACAAAATTCTGCATGACAGAGAAACAGCAGGTTTCACTGCATGTATAACGTCCTGCAATGACAAAGTTTAGATTTATTCCCATGTTTTTCTATCAGTGGTTCCCTTAAAACTCTGCCCCTGGTTGGTACTGGTTGAAGATCACAAAACACAAACTGCTGAATCTTAAGAGAACATCCTTTTGTTAATATCTACATGAAACAGCTTTCATTCTGATTCCCATTTAGTAAAGCAGGAACTATTCAAAACATTTAATAAACTCGCTAAATTACTGTTAATTAAAAATAAAAAGAGCTGCCTCAAAGCCACATTGCTACCCCATCTAAAGCGTCTTGTTTAAAGGACAAACAATGTCAATTAGTTGAGTTTACACTGCTAACACGTGTCAGCAAATAACTGAATAACTGGAATCAGTAAAAGAACTGGTTTTGTTTACTTAACTGTCCATGCAAAACATTTCAGAGATGGAGGAGGAAATAGAATTTTTCAAATTTAATTCCAAATCAAAGGTCTTCATAAGACCTTCACCTTTAGAGGAATTACTCAAACTCTGATTTCTTGAATTTTTTTTAAAAAACTGATTAAACTTGATCTTGCATTAAAAATGTACCTGGCTCTGATACCTGGGTCTTCCGTGTAGGCGCGGTATTACTGCGCAGTGCTCCCTCCTCCTTTGTCCCTCTGCGAGCGCTTCACTCCTGTGGTAATCTTCAGTCAGGACGACAGCTTCAGCCGCAGGTAAGAAACGTCTGCAGCCTGATTAATATAACTGCGTTTTTTTCCGTGTGGGCGAAGAACCAGTCCCCATTTAAAAGTTTGTCGTTTTGATAATTAGGCAACAAACTTTTCCTGTTTTAATATCACACCACGTTAGTTCATCACGTTACAAAAGTCGTTATTTTGCAGAACGTGCCCGGTTAAAATCCGTTGTTATAGCACGACAGAGTGGCTCTAATGTCAGACCGTCGGGTGGTGTTAGGATGAAAAAGGTGAGGTGGCCTGAGCAATTAATTAAAATACACGAGAGGTCTTTTAGGTTTTAATGGCAATTTGCTTCCACTTTGTTGAAACATAATCATTGTGCGTTCGTATCTATGTGTGTGTGGTCCATCTAGAAGCCCCCTAATGTTGTACCAAGTGTCTTTACACAGTGACAAAATGCAGAAGAAAACCCTTATTTTTTTGTAACAGCGTCAAAACCCCAGAATGGGTTAGATCAGTCATGGATGTATGACTGTGTGTGTCTGCGTGTGTGATAGATCATCTGGTGTTATGCATTTCAGTCTGGGATGCTCTGTCTCTCCGGATTTGAGAAAGTACTAATAACAGGATGAATAATGTAAATGTTTTTAGTAACATAAAAAGAAAAAAAGGAAACTATGTCCTAAAACAGGAAAAAGTCAGAACAACATGGAAAAACCCTAAAAAGAAATGCAAATGTTTTATCTATTTTTGCAGGTGTAGACATAGGCTGGACTTTATTATCAAATTATCTATTTATTATCTCCTAAACATTAGATCCTGGCAATCTATATGTGTGTGTGTGTGTGTGTGTGTGTGTGTGTGTGTGTGTGCGCGCCGCCTGGATGGATTCTTTGGCCGAGTTTTGATGTGTGTGATCCCATAACGTTATTTGCACATTAATTATTGTTTCAACACTCGCCTGGGAGCGGCACTGTGAATCAGTGATACAGATAGTGGGAGAGAAGTGTTACTACCAGGAGGAGACTGTCAGGCAGACAGAGAGAAAGCACAGCAAAAATTTCTGACACAACTTCACCTACTTCCAAGGTGCATGGAGAGGATGAAAGAATTCACAATGCAGGAACTCCAGCAACACTTAAGGGAAGATGAACAACTTTAATAATTGACCAACTTCATGACCCTGATGAAAGCCACAAGCCGAAACGCGTTGGTCAATTATTAAAGTTGTTCATCTTCCCTTAAGTGTTGCTGGAGTTCCTGCATTGAGGAAGACAGAGAGAGACAGAAACAGGAAGGTGTGTCTATGAGGACAGGTACATTAAACAAAGTACGAAGAATATGGATCTTATATGAAATATGACAAATCTCTGGATGGTTAATTTTGCTCTGAATATCACATACTTCAAAGGTTTTATCGAAGCTGTATTGATTTGTATTATTCATTTCCCATCCAGAACTATTCAGTGTACACACATGTACATGTCCTCTGTGTTATGTTTTAGTATTGAAGAAATAAAGAACTTGACACACCAAACACTTGTGTCCAGGCGTCTGTGTGACTGTGAGTGTCAGAAGTGGCCCAGATGTGTTTGGAGCTTTCAGACTACAAATTTGTCCATAGTTTGGCCTTCTACTAATGTTTGTATGAGTTAGCCAGCTTTATATAACTAGATCCTGCAGGTCATCTCTGAAAGCTAAAGTCAAAGACTTTAAGTACTGACAGCCTGAGTGTGGTTGCTTAAAAACCTGTTAGAGTGATATTTATGCAGGATTATTGGAATTTATTTAGCTAGACGTTTGTGTCACACCTGTAGGTCGTAACAGTCATTACAGTGACTCTTTAAATGATTGCTTTAGTTTGAAACTGTTGCTGTTGGGCTGGTTCTACAGCTGTAAACCACACATATGTATTATTTTTTTTCAATATTTTATTAGAATTTTTTCAGCATAGAAAACCCCATCAACAAACAAATACAGCTCAGGCGCTGAGATGATAGGACAAGAAATAGCACAATAATAATAATCAATAGGGAAAGAAAAAAGAAAAAAGAAAGAAAACATTAAAATTAGAAACTACCAGTATCCATAATGAATTAAATGTCATGAATATGTAATAAACAGGGAAACTGCAGTGCCATGGTACATGTTTATACAACGTGAGCTTTCTCAAGATGAGTACAAAACAGAGTCCAAGATTTTGAGAAAACATTTGCTGCAGGTGTTTGCAGGTATCGAACTTTTTCCAGCTGAATGACTGATAACATGTCATTGAGCCAGACACTGAAGGAGGGAGGAGCAGCGGACTTCCATTCCCTTAGAATAAGTCTTTTCACAATCATCATTCCGAGGTCGATTGGCACCTGCACAGTCGCAGGGATAGTTCTGGAACGTACACAGCCAAAAACTGCAATTTCTGGATTGGGTGAGATGGAAATCCCATAAGCTTTAGTGTACCAATCAAATATTTTGGACCAAAAATTGGTCAATGAGGGGCAATGCCAGAAAGCGTGAGCCACTGATGTTTTACATCTGTCACATATGGGGGAAGTTGAAGGATGAATTTTGTGTAGCCGAACCTTGGAATAATGTAGCCGATGGACAATTTTAAATTGTATTAATTGATGTCTGCTGTTAACAGAGCAGGAATGAATTTTTGATAGGCATTTGTCCCACATTTATTCTGATATTTCTATGCCCAATTCCTCCCTCCAAGCGTCTCTTATCCTCGTAGTCTGCACTTCAATGCTGTCATCAAACAAATGTACAATTGTAGAAATCAAATGTTTGGAGTAAGGAGGGCTCAGGAACACCTTAAAAAGATTATGTTCATGTGGAACATCTTGGTAATTCTTCATATTGGATTGCATAAAATGCCTGACTTGTAGGTAACGGTAAAAATGTGAATGCGGTAAATCGAATTTTTGCTTAAGTTGATTAAATGATGCAAATTTTCCATCTATATAAAGATCTTTGAATTTGAGTAAGCCCTTCTCCTTCCAAACATAGTAGGATTTATCATCCCAAGGAGGCAAAAAGGCATGGTTATCACATATTGGTGCCTGCACAGAGGAGTTTGGCAGTTCAAAAAAACCTCTAACTTGGTTTAAAATCCGCACAGATTGTTTCGGAACAAACCCCAGTTTCTTAAGACTCTCAGCCCTCCCTACTTTTGAGAGAAGCAGGGCCTCTAGAGAGGAGCCCCTTACAATGCCAGCCTCCATTTTAACCCAAAGGGGGATGTTGAAATCACCAAGATCTGAGGATGTCTGCTGCCAGAAGGTCAAGGCTCTTAGATTTGCAGCCCAGTAATAATGTTTAAATATTGGTAAACTCAGACCTCCCTCCAATTTGGATTTTTGTAGATGTAGTTTTGAAATCCTAGGATTCTACTTATATGTATTATTAAACTGGAATAAAAATGTGTTTCTATAAGCAGCTTAGCAAATCCTTTAAGAGTACTTTTATTGCATTAGCCCTACCTAGTGTTAGCGGAGATGACTCAGCAGTTATTACTTTGTGTTTAAGCTGTTACTTCACATGTTGCTCTCTTTGTGAACAGACATGTCAACAAGGGTTGCTGTGGTAACAGGTAGTAACAAGGGCATCGGCCTGGCCATCGTCCGAGCTCTCTGCAAGCAGTTTGAAGGAGACGTTTACCTCACTGCTAGAGATGTGTAAGCACCACAGCTGGTAACACCTGAACCTGACTCATGTTTGCACCTGATTTTACTGCAAAATCATCTGTTTTACTTTATTGCTGTAAGGATATTTTTGGTTTATTTCCATGTATTTGATGTTTGCCTCTAACCTTTTCAAACACTTAAAAATCCTAAAAAAGGCAATGAAAAAACCTCTACCCCTTGAAAACATAAAGTTACATCATTATTAATTTAAATCTGCAGAAAACAACTAATTAAAAACAAATATTTATCTCTAAATTACAAAACAATTGTAGGTATTAAGATGAAAAGATTAAAAGTGCTGAATCACAGTGACTCCTTCTATTTAACAGTTTTGAATTCAGTGCAGATTGGCGACATCTGCTGGTCACATGTTGGTATTTGTTTTTGATGTATATGAGTTTAGATTTTTTACGCTAGTTTGTAAAGCAATTGCATCTAGGAGCAGATTTGATTACATATTGCAGTTATTTTAAGACAGCAAGAAGAGCAAAGAGCACAAACACATGCTGTTGTCCACACTAGGAAGCTGAGTGAGAAACAATAAACCAGCATGGTTTTCCGAGGCAGACAGTAACGCTTTGTGTGTGTTGCAGCGGGCGTGGTGAGGACTCAGTGAAGGCTCTGTCCTCTGAGGGGCTGAAGGCCATGTTTCACCAGCTAGACATCAATGACTTGGACAGCATTAAAACTGCTGCTGCTTACTTTAAAGGGAAGTACGGCGGAGTGGACATTCTCATCAATAATGCTGGGATAGCATTCAAAGGTAGAATTAGATATATACATTGATTTTTAACTGTATTGTGCACTACAGCCTCATACACAGGAAGTTCAATTACAACGTCTAGTACAACTGACACCACCACTATTTCTTTTTATCCCATGTGAAACATAAAGCTGCAACTTGCTGCGACCGATCTAGAATAAGAAAGTAGGTTGTGTGATGATTTTTTTTCTTCCCAGTTTCTATAACAGAAGGTTGTCTATGTGAGGAGGTTGTCGGCCTCTTGCACAACCATTTGTCTAGCTCCTTGCCTTTGACTAACCTGGTATGCTATGTAGAGCTGAGGCCCTGGGGTCTTCAAGCATGCAACCCTGCCCACTATCGAAAGCCAGGATGTTAATACTGCTGTGGCTTCTGTTTAGACACACTGGAAAAATACTGCTAAGATTGATGCTGCTGGAGCATCAATCTTTATCTAGAATTTAAAACAGTTTACACTTCAGCAGTCAAGATTAACCAAAGTTGTCCTTTTGTCCATTTTGGAAAGGATCCTAATCAAAGTGGGCACAGGAGGCAGGACGGTCGGTGGCTGTAAAGTCAAATGGACACACACAGATTTTGTACTAAAGACCTGAAAAGCTAAAACTAATTTATTATTCAATTGATTCTTTGTCAATATTTGAAAATATTAAAGTATCCATAAACAAGAACCATTTGTCCTCCTGTGCTACATTTCCTTTCCCCCACTTTTAGGCCTTTTCATTGCATAAATGATCAGAAAGCCGTTTGGCTGTGCTCGTAGCTCATCACACTCACCGTATATGGAGCAAAGAGTGACGTTTTAAGTTAGCAGCTAAAGTTAGCAGGCTGTGACTGTAGCCTGTATGGGTCCGATCTAAAGGGCACCAACACCACAAACATATTCAAGGGGCCCACTTCAGGGAGTCCAGTTAGCTGAGGTGAAGCCAAGCTGAAGCTAGCAGATCTGTCACTTAAAGTAGCTACGCCACATATTCCCCCAGCTGGGCTGAAGGGAAAATAGGTTGAGCATTTTAATGTGGGAGTCTGTGGGGACTGACTTGCTTTTAGAAGAAACCACCAGCGGCCATCAGAGGAGATGCAGGTTTTTACACCTCCGCATTAGCTTCAGTTTTTAGCCCTCAGGGCTGCACTTTCATTGTCACATGCACTTCCATCATCCATGTCTTTAAAAGTTCAGGGTTGCTGTGTATGTGTGACTACAGCTATACAATAATATAAGAAATGCTATGGTGCATATGTAAGTGAATTAATGTGTTGTAGTCTTCCTGAAAACCATCAGATATTCACCCCTAACATCCACCGTGATGAAGAAGAGTCAGATAACGTAAACATTCTGAAAATTGTCCTGTAGCTCTGAACAAAAAGAGGATTTTTAATCAAATACAATTTATTTGATTAAAAACCCTCTTTTTAATTAAATAAAAAGATCTATAAATGATTAAGGCTGTCATGAATAAGGTGACAACATGTGAACTTTGGGTTTTTTTTCAGCGGCAGACACAACTCCATTTGATGTCCAGGCCGAGGTGACCCTCAACACAAACTTCTTTGCCACCAGAGACATGTTGACTCACTTCCTGCCGATCGTTAAAGCTGGAGGTACGAACACGAGGCTGGATCCAATCTGCCGGTCGTGTCCGTCGCTGCTGCTTGAATAAACAGCTTTGGTCAGCGTTTGATTAGAGGAGCAAGTTTGGCTTTGATTCAGACTATTAATGACTGTGGATGTTCTAAAATGTTCTCTGTTGGCTCATCTTGAACATTTTATCTATAATTGGAAAGCGATATCTTTTTTTTGCCCTCAGGATGTGTGATCACAATTTGCGGAAAACAAAGCACGACAATAATTAAACATACAGACACACTACAGCCAACTCGCATGTAATCTTTCCTGGAAGATGATGAGTTTGCTTGATGTGCTGTGAGAGATGCACATGAAGAGGTTTGTTACCCTGTGTGTGTGTTTCAGGTCGTGTGGTGAATGTTTCCAGCTTTGTCAGTGCACTTACGTTGAACAAGTGCAGCTCGGAGCTCCAGCAGCGTTTCCGCAGTGAGGACCTCACAGAGGACGAGCTGGTGGCACTGATGCAGCAATTTGTCAGCGAAGCCAAGAAAGGCAAACACAAAGAAGGCGGCTGGCCCGATTCAGCATATGGAACATCTAAAGTCGGGGTGACGGTACGGCTGATGTGAAAATGAAGTTCATATCAACATGTAAAGAACCTGCTCTAAATCTTAATTGGCGTACTTCTTTGATTATGATTATGAACGTGTGTGTTTTCAGGCCCTGTCCATGATTCTTGCTCGTCAAGTTTCCAAGCAGAGACCAAATGATGGGGTAACTAATATTTAAAATCTTTAACGTTGCCAACAACATTATCTCCTAGTTTCTGCTTTGTTTCCTTTTTATTTTCTGTGTTTTTTATTCTTTTAACAGATCTTGCTGAACGCCTGCTGTCCAGGATGGGTGCGCACCGACATGGCTGGTGATAAAGCCCCCAAGTCACCAGAGGAGGGTGCTGTCACTCCAGTGTACCTGGCCCTGCTGCCACCCGGAGCCACAGAGCCTCACGGAAAATTTGTGTCTGACAAGCAAGTTCAGCCATGGTGATGAGTGTGTGATTGTCAGCGTTTCCACCCAAACGACATGTTGAAGATCCATATTTAGAATAGATGAACCTGAATAACCCAGACACATTAATACAGCAACCTGAAGATGCCCTTTTTCAAAACAATGCATTTTTAACAGTTTGAGTCTGCCAGTGTGCATGTGTGTATCTGCTGGATTATAACATATACAGTAATTAAACTTGTGTATGTGTAAGTGCTAATGTTTTTGATACAACACTTTGCCTGTGGCAGTATGAATGTTTGATCATTTTTTACATGGAGGAAAGTAAATGTGCTTTGTGTATGAAATATGAATCTCCTGAAGAACTAATAAACAGTTTTCTGCAGCACAGGGCTTGTGCATTAACTGGTTATGAGCAGAATAGAAACATTAAATTTATTACAATGATATAGAAGAAATGCACATAAAACCGAAGACTTGTCTTCAGTTAAAAATAATGACATTTATTGTTAGCTGAGGATGAAAATGATTTTGTTATTCAGGTACATTTGTGCCATTATAAAGCATAAAAACTTAAGAAAACTTGATGGTGGAGAGGAAAGGAAGCCATTTTTTTCCTGCTCTTCCATCATCTCTTGAACCAGAAAGCCAACCATACAAGCAGCATGCAGATACAGATTATGATGTAAATATCATGTTTCTGTGCGTCAGACTGGCAGTCCGTCCTGGATGTACCCCACCTCTCACACGACGACAGCTGGGATAGGCTCCAGCCTCCCGGCGACCCTGAATTGAATAAGCAGAAGAAAATGAATGGATATAATATTGGAGATTATATAATGAACTCGGAACAGAGCGCTCTGGCTCTTGCTGCAGTGGCATTCTGGGATATGACAATCAGATAATCAGCGAAAAGTAAACACAAAGCAATTTCCACAACCTCATCTCCAGCTAAAGGAGTTATCAGCCTCTGATAAGGATAATGACTTTTATTTTTGGACACTGGAAATGGCAACTAAAAACAACAACTGCCAATAAAAGTAAATAATTCACAGCAAAATGTCATAAGATGGCAGCATGAGCTGATTATTATGGACCAAAATGCTGGAATAAACAGGTGTTATGGATTTAAAGGGAAACTCGAAGCAGGAAGTTACAGAGCTCGGGGTTCACATAGTTACGAGGACGATCCAACAATCAGCAGGTGTAAACAGAGACAATATATGCACAGGTCAGCTGGAGAGAGCAGACAAAACGAGACAGGGGGAGTAAATTTAACATTAAACTAAAAACAAAAAACATTTTTTCATCTTTTCCCAGGATCTGCAGCTATGGGAAATAAATTTCTCATAAATAATACATTTAAGTCATGGCCCTTTAATACTCTTTGTTTTCAGCTCTGCAAGTTATTTCCCCCATTTCTGATATTCCATTTGAAGGGTTCTTTCCAGTTCCTGATTATTAGCTTCAGTTCTGGTGTTTAAGCATTTGAAAGGCACTGGTCTGTTTCGTGCTTTAACTCACCAAACTGCTTGTTGCCTCCTGTAACTCAGCGCTAAAATTCAAAACAGCTCAGACACTAAAAATGTAATTTGCCTTTGTGTCACCGTGCCACTATATTCATTTCTGCCAACATTTAGAAAACAGAACATTTTAAATGTAAAACCAGAGGCTTAAAATTTTAACAACATGGTCATTTGAACAGTTCTGTGCAAAAGGTGATTCCCAACATGGTATTAACTGAAAACTCAAAAAATCTCAGCACAGTGTGCGTCCTTGTCCAACATTGCAGGACTAAAGAAATGAACAATTTCTAAAAGTCCTTAAGAAATAAGAAAACATCCAGCTAAGACCTGGCACGGGACCAGAGAGATGCAGCTGCCCCATCAGTTGATCCATCCACTCTTTACTGAATAATCATCAGAAAAGGATTCAGTGGGATGGCTGGCTGTTCTGGAAACAGAAAAGAAAGTCTGGAGATGCCAAATTACACAAGAACAGAACGTCAAACAAGGGAAAATGCATCTCATGTGGAGTAATAAATCCAACCGTGAAATTTGGGGTTTAAATAATCATCAATATGCGTCATCCAACAGTATTTCCATCTCTTTTTGCACATTGTGTAGGGGCGTGGTCTGCAGTGCCGCTGCAGGGGAGGCGGACGCACCTGAGCGGCATGCGCAATCACGCCTCGCCGGTCGGCTTAAGGTCTGTGCTGGGTTCTGCTGCAGTTATTGTTGTTGATGTGTGTGTGGGGGGGAGTGTGGAAGCTGCAGCCAGTGTGTGAAAACGACAACCGTAATAATAAAGAATGCTGGAAAGCATGAATGTGTGGACGTGTCCTGTCGTGGGTCTGTTACACGCATTTTAGTAAATCACTGCGCCCACAGGAAACTCTAAATTGGCTGTTTCAAGCGCCTTAGTCTAATGTTGGTGTTTAAAGACTTCTGGTAGGAAAAGGGTGGTGTGGTCTGAATTTGCTGCCAAAAGTCTGAGAGCAAAATAAAAGCGAGGCTTCATGGAGATGTCACGACACCTGCTGGTGATACTGCACATTTATTATTACCAACACTTTATATTCAAAACGATGAGTATTAAGTGCGATGCTAAATGTGAACAAGAGCAAATCAGATAGGCTCCAAAGCAACAACACAGATATATGCGCAGTAAAGGTCAAGTCAAATGTAGCCTTGTAATTCTAATTCATGAGTACATTTATGTTCGGAGACACAACAACATGCACACAAAGGCAACAATAAATGACTCCCTGAAGCAACATTCACAGTGTTGACATGTTTATTGGGGCTGATGTAGCTGCGCAGCTGGAAAAGCAAAGCACACAGAAAGCCGAGCCTGAGGTCTTCTTCTCCCTTCACGTTATATTCAGTCTGTGAAACAAGCTTCACAGTAATGCTGATGTTCTCTTTTAACATGTCCGACTGCATGTAAAACAACCGCCTCACCGCAGATATTATTAAATATAACACCACTTTTCAAAGAACTGCAAAGTGATGCCAAGTGAATCATTTTTAATGCATGATTTTTTTTTTAGTTTTTAAGACCTCTAAATCAGCACTGTGCCCCCCCCCCCCAAAAAATAACATTCTTTAGCAATAAATTACACAAATATATATATATGTGTTGCAGAAATGACACATTAAAATTCAATATGGCAATATCAATATCTTTTTAAATCTTTTTTAATCTTTTTTTCATTGCTGGAAACAGTAGGTGTTTCAAAATGCTGTTTGTCTTACATAAAAACATACATTACATTTCACGTTTCCATATATCCTCCATAAATGGCCAAAGTTTAAGATTAAGATTAAGATTTAGCCTGAAAACATTTCATGCTGTCTTAAAATAACAGATAGATGTAATATCTACTGTGTATGCAAACCGCCCGCCACCCCACTAATTCCCTTAAGTAATGCAAAAAAGGACCTTGGTGTCCTTTACAGCTATGATCCTGCGCCCATTAATAATTTATATGCCAGCTCAAAATTTCCGGAGGAAAAACAAAAGATCACTCAGTACCAGCCCCGGTTCGTTGTCTGAGCTGTATTTTGTTACTACAACAGCTCTCTACAATAGGTGTTGAATATATACAATATTTACCTTTGGATTTTGGTATCTTTCACCACTCCTGGAATGAAATCTGACTGCTCAGAGTGTTTGTTTATACCAAATGCAAAGAACGTCAGAGAAGGAAATCTCATTCAGGTGGCTTCATATTGTTTGTGCGGAGATAAGAAGAGATTTCATACAAAATAATTCCTGTGGAAATCCAGATTTTTCTGCTTTATCGCATCCCTTTCTGCCTGGTTTAAGTCTCTGAGTCAATATCGCAGTAGACTGTGCAGTGTCGATGTAATCTCTGTGTGTATCTGTGTGTGTGTGTGTCTGTGTGTGTAAAAGTGTGGGAGTTGTAGTCCTGTCAGACAAGAGAAAAGCCCCGATTACTTTGTAGATAAAACCTAATCCAGGGAGCGAGAACGATAGAGAGATGGCCAAAGACAGGGGAGAGAAATAATCCTCTAATCCCTGCTGCCTGCCAATGGAAGCCCCATCACACGCTCACTTTGATAATCATAATGATCGTCATTGGTTGTAAGTGCTGCACAAGCGTTATAATTTCTTCATTGATCCTGCTGCCGGGAATTCCCTCAAAGCCGAAACACAATTTGTAGACTCGAGAGCTGAAGAGAAGGCAAGCGAGTTTCTTTTTGGTTTGTGAAGATCTTTCCTCTCATCCAAAAAGCTTCTTCAGTTCGAAAACAACCCAGAGAGAGTCCCAGGTTTTTAACCCCTGATTGTCATTGACCCAGTATTGATCACATGAGTGTGAAACCAGTGTAAGATATCGCCATCATTGTGTGAACTATTGAGAGTGGGCGTTTAAACACCCGGGAAAGGATCTCAAGACTGCATTGTAGATGGCTGATAACTGGTGTCATAAACCTCAACCTCTGTTCAACGTCAGTCATTCACAGTGGATTCCCAGCTGTTGAGGTGGCTCTCTTGTGTTGTGGGCTGATTGGTTTTTCCTGGGTAAACGCTCCAAGCACTCATCACTGCACTGCATAACATACATGTTGGTCTTTAGTTTGTGTTTGGGTGTTTTGTTCTTGGGATGAACGAGTTTTTGCCCGAGGTGCACGGGGACGTTAGTTTTCTCAGTCTGCCATGTAGGAGATTTTGTTTCCCCCGGCTGCTGTCTAAGGTTCTTTCCTGTACATCTTCACCAATTTAATGAAAGCCCAGTTAGGATAACCACATGTTTAAGGTGCTTTCTTAATTTCTGTCCCATTCTTGTCAGACAGAGGATTCTAGCTGCCCAACAGTCCTTGTTCTTCTTTGTTGTATTTTTCTTTTCATGATGTGTCAAATATTTTCAAATGATCACAGGTCTGGAGTACAGGCAGGCCAGTTCAGAGCCATGCTGTTATAATAGCTGCTGCCTGCAGTTTAGCATTGTCCTGTTGAAATATTCAAGGTCTTCCCTGAAAAAGATCCAAATGGGAGCATATTTTACTCTAAGACCCAACTATACCTTTCAGTGTTGCTGGCACTGGTGATGCCTTTCCAGATGTGCAAGCTGTCAGTGCCACTGGCATTAATGCACCTCTGTCCCATCAGAAATGCAGACTTTTTAACAGCAGGATGAAAACAAGCCTTTTTACATTTTTTAGTCTGGAGGACCCAGGCTCTTGTTTTCCCAAAAGAATTTCCACGATTGATTCGTTTTACTTCAGAACTATTTTCTACTTTGTCTCGGGCCATTTTCAGCCTTTTCCCTCGCACACGGAGAGTCCCTTAGAGTCTCTGAACCTTTTGATAATGTTAGGTACTATACATGATAAGATATTCAAGTCTTTGCAATTTTAC